ATCCAACGGTCAAATTGTATCGGATTTGGGATTTATTTTTGGTAAAAATAACATTTGAAGGAAGACCTAAAAAATTAATAATTAAATCGTTGAAATACAATGTGGAATGAATCTCACAAAAAAATCTGTCCAATAACTTATTTAAGAGATCCCTCAAATACGTGGTCATAGTAACTACACACATAGTGCTTAACCACCTAAAAAGTAGGTGCATTATATTATCAAAATTCCAACCCTCTTGTCGCTTGGAAAGGCATTGCTCTGATATGTAACTTTGATAACAAAATTGTACCATTCCCAACAAAGACGTCATTCGTGTCTCCTAGCTTGTTTTGGGCAACAAGACTTACAGAAGCACTTGGTGTCCTCTTGTGTTATGTACCATTCCAAATCACACACAAATTCAAAATGATGTCGGCCATATAGGCATTGTAGATAAACTCGAAGTTCTTTTTTTTTTCTTTCCGTTTTGGTTCCTTTTCTTTTTTAATCTTGTATATATGCACAAGTTAATATTAAGTCTTGATGATAAAAAACTCAGGACATATAGTTTAAATGGCTAAGAATATTTGCCTCTTCACCTAACGTTCTAAGTTCGATTTCTCCCTCTTTCGAAATCATGAAACAAATGTTGATTAAAGATGGTTAAAAAAAATGTTAATAGGAATATAAAGTAGTCATCTTGCGCCCATATTTATTTTTTTCTACTAGAGATATTGGGCCATCTTTTTATGAACTAAAGACATTGGGTTTCCGTTCGGCTCAAACAAGCTTAAAACACTTTAAAATTGTGGACGTTTATACGGCCCAATTCAGTTCAAATTTCAATAATTGTGGTACAAATTGTTCAAAATTGGGTACCATTGGTGATTCAGCGTCTGACACGTGTTAAAGTGGTCTAATTACTCCTGCTACCATCAGTCATTCTGTCGTTGTTGGGTCTGGGTCCTCTGGGTGGATAAGGCCAGTCCATGACTCCGTCTGATGTACATCGTTTAGGTTATTTCCAACCAAAGAGAGATCAAAAGAGTAGTCATGCAAGAAATTATATTTTAATAAATAATGTTATATTATATTTTATATTATCTCTAAATAAGAGGGTTAAAGGACCATAGGTCAAATATAATTTATTATTTTAATTAAATTAATATAGTTAAATAAATTAAATTATCATATTAAAATAAGTTTTTCAAACATATTTTGAGTGCCACTTGTCGCCAAATGAATAGCTTCTGTATTTCTTATCTTTATATAATCTTAATAATTTTTTAGATAAGATTTCGAGTAACACGTGTCGTTAACGTGAGTAACTCTCTAAATTTCTTATCTTTATGTAATCTCAATAATTTTTCGGACATAATTTCCAATGACACGTGTCGCTAAAGTGAGTATCTCTCTAGATTTCTTATATTTATGTAATCTTAATAATTTTTCGGATAAGCTTTCGAGTGTCACGTGTCGAGATGTAATTGGTTGTGCAAATTTTAGATAAGATTCTTATTTATGTGGCACTTCTTATTTTCAGCTTTCAATGTTGTAGGAATGGTGTAGGTATTTATAGGAAAAAAAATTAGAATTTTTTTTTTAAATTCATCCAAAAAAAAAAAAAAATCAAATTCCAACGGGAACCTGATGGCAGCATGACGTTAGCTAGCCATTGCTAGTTGGCGTCATGTTGATGCCAGATAGCCGTTGGCATTCAAATAGGTTGAGTTGGAGGGCTGGCAAAATGTCAAGCTTGACATTTTGGCGCTAGATGGCTGACTGGCTGGAAATGCCCAACCCGCTGGCCTAATTTGGGGTTTGGGCCTGATGGGGCCCACAAGCCCTTTGGCCTAGTCTTCGGTTGGAGACGGTTTTCGTGTCATTCAGAGCTATTTTTAGCCATATGGCCTTTTGGTCGAGTCGATTGAAGATGACCTTACATGACTATCCTTGATCCCATTTGCATATTATGGGTGCTTTTAAGTGCACTAAAAGCGAATTTGAACCACATTATTACTAGCTAATTGTAAGGCTAAACCTATCTTCCTCCCCTTAGTTGGATAATATCATTTGTTCAAAAAAAAAAAAGTGGTCCTCATGTATTTAGTTTAGGGTTGTGTTATCTACACGTTCCCTTTTATCTCTCATATACTTCTAAAAATCAAGAAAAAAAATAAAAAAGGGTATGTGAGAGAAAAAATGAGTGTGTTATAGCACCATCCTTGTTTATAATGACAACATGTTTACGATGTCCAACCGCGTCATATATAGTTTTTTTTTTATAAATTAGTATTCTTATATTTTGGAGTTTGACTACAATAGTATATACTATAATGATACGAGTTTTATACAAAATTTTAAATATCTATTAGATCCTTGTTTTTAAGATCTCACCGTTAGTTTTGCGACTACTCAAAATTGTGTATTTTGATCATATCTGAATAGTGTTGGTCCCTCTAAGAAAATAAAAAACCAACGCCTTTTGGATTAAAGTGACATTTCAACCAAATTACAAATTCGAGATCATATATATATATTTTCAGGGGTTTATGGTCAATAAGTTTAGGGAAGTGTTATTGGCACTCTAAAAATCTCATTCTACACTCCTCACAAGTGTATTTTTCTTTTTAAATATAGAAAGTTTGGAGTGTAGAATGAGAAATTTGGAGTGTCAATAACAATTTCCTAAGTTTAAAGGGTAGTATTATTCACATATATATTTTTACTTCTTACATTCTTTTTTTTCAATTTCCGGCTATTAGATCGAATGAACTAAAAAGATTAATGACAAAAAATTAATAAGGATGTGCGGTAAGGTAAAAATAGGTATGTGAATATCACTTTTCTTAAAAAACAACAACAAAGCATTATCCAACTAAGTGAGATCAGTTGTATTAATCATAAAACGTTACTGCGCTCCGTTTTGCACCTCATATGTTCTGGTAACAATACCAAGCCAAAAAAATCAGACCGAGATGGTAGATCTTAATCCTAGATTAGACCACACGTGTGTGTGTGTGTGTGTGTGTGTGTGTGTGTAATGCAGAAGGAACCAAACTATCCTTATCACAGATTGCCCTAAGACACTGAAATAAAAAATGAAAGAAAGAATCCTCAAACGAAAGGTGCGTGGATAGCACTATCCAAGTTTAAATTTGGCCGTCACCATTGACATCCCAAAAAGCACGTTTTCCATTTCCATGGACTTTATAAGCTGAAGCAAATCTGTAAACAACATAATGGGTTTTCTATTGACCTGCAAGTTAACCGTTGATAGATCACTACCATTAATTCAACAGCATTTTAGAATCCACCATGGTCCATATACACCTCAATTGACAAGAAAATATCCCAACTTACATTGGATTAATTTCACATCATGGAGAACAAGTGCTTTAGTGGAGTTTTGAGTCTTCTAGAAGTACAGGGAAACATCGACAAGTTAATTAGGATTATTTTTTGCTATGCGCAGTACAATATATGAAATTTCACTTTATTCTATTGGGATGTGATATTTATACACTAATTTTTACTTTTCACATACTCATCTAATTTTCGACCGTCGAATTAGATGAATTGAAAAAGATCAAATGACAGAAATTATCATGGGGTATGTGATGAGTAAAAAGAGGTGTATGAGAAGTAAAAAAGAATGTGTGGATGGCACACCCCTGTACTCATGAGTTGTATCTCACTTTACTATTCATTTTTGTTATTGAATAAAGAGGCGTTAGTTTTGTTAACGGTGACAAAAACTCTTTGAGGTACCAGTATTTTGTGTGTATATATATGTACCATTATTGTTTTAGCATCCTTACAAATGGAACACCTGATAAACTTTATAGACCCATGTAGTTCCATCACCAATATCACCGATATTGTTTCAACTTAATCATTTATTACTAGGTGTTGGGTTATATCACAAAATGTCTCGGTGATATTAGAGGTGGAAATTCTCATATATTAATTGTATATATTTTGTCATATGAACGATCTGAAATCTTATTCTTCAATACACCCTTCACGAGTGGCCCCACATGGGATCACAAGAGAAACCAATTCCCCCATCAAGAAATGGTCAAGTCATTATGCTGGAGCTAACAAAGCTTTTCGAGAAACCAATCATCATTTAGGGACTAGAGCCGACGTAACTTTTCAATGTCTAGTCATTCAATATCTTTAAGCTAGAGCTAGTGCAATTTTTCAAAAGCCCAACTTAAGGAGGGAAAATTAGAGCTCAATAAATCAGGGGCAAGGACGTGTCGAAAGAATAGTCTGCTATAATACCATGATAAACTTTTAAGGCTTCATAAAGGTCCACCACCAATATCACCGATGAGTTTTAGTTGGACTACTACACCATGTAATGATCTCACTCCCCTCTCACACCACCCTACCTCCGAGTCCCGGACGGAATAATTTATCATGGATGAGAGAATGGCTTGGGACCCAATCAAACCAAAGCTAACTCAAACTTCACCAAAAAACTAATCTAAGTGACTCGAGTTGAATTTTAAGAGATGGTTACGTAGATAAGTTTTTTGGTGAAGTTTGAGTTAGCTTTGGTTTGACTGGGTCCCATGCCATCCTCTCATCCATGAGAAATTATTCTGTCCGGGACTTGGAGGTAGGGTGGTGTGAGAGGGGAGTGAGATCATTACATGGTGTAGTGGTGAGCCTCACTGTCAAGGCGTGGGGTATGTTGACTTTATTGTGTCTGGGGTCGCACAAACACATGATCTCGATGCCAGACTCCAGAATTTCTCCTCACTGACACGTAAAACTCCTAAAGTTGGTAATGTCTAAGATGGAGCTAGACATTGCTGTCACATTTTTATGTAATAAACATTTAAATTATGAATGACCTTAGTACTTCATCTTCCAAAAGAAAGAAAGCAACACTCCATCGGTCGTGACTGAGAAGGGAAAATAACATCCAACAGGACATAGTACACTCCTGCTTATTCTTTGATTCTTTCCTCTGTTCAGCTAAGGGAACACCCAACAAGGTAGTTCCTCAAAAAGTTCTCTCTCTCTCTCTCTCAAAAGCCTAACTTAGCTTACCCTAGAGAACTCGAATATTAAAAAGGAAAACCTAGTACCAAACTAGCTATAATTTTATATACACACAAAATATAAAATATTACTGAACTATATTTTAAATATTATTACCAGTTGAAAGAAGAATGGGAAGAGGGAAGGTGGAGCTGAAGAGGATCGAGAATAAGATAAATCGACAGGTAACATTTGCAAAAAGAAGGAAAGGGCTGCTAAAGAAGGCGTACGAGCTCTCAGTTCTCTGTGATGCTGAGGTTGCTCTCATCGTCTTCTCCACCCGTGGAAAGCTCTCTGAGTTCTCCAGCGGCCCTAGGTATATATCTCTATTTTCTGAATATATACAATATATTAATAATATATGTGTGGGAAATATATCGGAAAAAAAATTTGCTTGGAAATTAAATTTTATTGGATTTGGATGAATATTTGGGGAGGGAAAGGGTGAATTAATAGAGGAATTGTTTGCTTATGCTCTTTTTCATTGTCGAATTTGAGATGAGTTCTTCATTTTTCATGGGATTTAACCTTCACTCATACAATCATAGGGGAAGGCTTGTAAATTTGCACTATAAATTCGTTAGATGTATTATCATATCTTTAAATCAGTACTTAATTTAGAAGGTCGTAATTAAATAACTAAAAATATGATAGGATTGATATGATCAATTTTATTTTTTGTAAAAAAATTTTAACTGGTGCAAGTCCATTGCTAAATATAATCCTTCAAAATTGTTCACCTCAATATATAGTAATCTAGGTTATAAATTCTTTAAGTACTCTTCAACTTATTAAGGGAATTCATTTCTTGCCAAATACTCAGACATATAAATCATAATCAGAGCTACTGGTTGTGTAGAATCATATTTGAATGTATGTCTTAACTATAATTGGCAATAATTATAAGACTTCAAGGTTATGTTCGGACGAGGAGTAGGAAGTTAGGCTACATATAGCTAGAAATGCACTATAAAAAACTAAATGGAGGGACCTTAAATTAGTGGATACAATGATTAGAAGGGGTCATTTGCAAATCCTTTTTTTTTCTGTCAAACAATAGATTTATTAGATTAGATGTTAGATTAGAGAGCCAATGGGGTTTGATGGGTTTGAACCCACGCCCTGATGCAAGGGCAACACTCATCTCCACCACTGTGGTAGAGGGCCACTTGCGGTCATTTGCAAATCTAAATTTTTTTTTTTGGGGGGGGGGGACATAAACGATAGAATTTCATTACCATAACCATCCACTTACAAGGATGCCATATGGGTACATATGCTCCAGTGATCAATTTCTTGATCTGGAGGTAATAAGCACAAATTACACATAATTTAAAACCCCTATATGGCCATCACACAAATCATACCACTAGAACGAGGAATCCCAAGATTGATATGTCCCATAGACAAGACGTGACATACCAAGCACCAAAACCATCACGAGACAGCGAGACTACAAAATTATAGAAGTGACACAAACCACTTACCGAAGCAACACAAACCAGTCATAAAAACTAAACTACAAAAACCAAAAAAACAAGGTGACGTGTCCACAATGGAGATGCAACTGGAATTTAGCAGTAGGCATGGGTAGCAGAGGCAGAGGCACGTGCAGAAATGTAAGAAGGTGTGCGAGGCTAGCTGTAGCTGGGACAAACTCAAAAGGGTGGGGTGGATGGGGATCTAGCCAGAGCCACCAAAGTTGTCGGAATGCCACCACAATCCAAAAACCTGCATAAAACATGATAGCACCAAGAGCCACCAGAAATTCCTTCAACTGGTGTTGGTCGCAGTTATGGCAAGAAATAGTGGCAATGACATGAATGGTAAAGGGGTTGCCAAGCCAAGACCACCCATATCACTGCACCGCCATCCTCACCATAACCACCACGAACCCGAAAAGGACAAAACGATAGTTCCAAGGGCAGAGCCCTTGGAAAGTCTAAACAACCAAGAGAAAATTTTGCTAGCAAATATGCACACTATAACTGCGGGTGCCCAGGAAGCCGCCGCTGGGAATGCTCCGTGTGCAACCCCACCTAGGAAATAGAAGCTACACGAATCCGAATAAATGAAACCTCCGATAGGCATGACCACCATTAACCAGGCAAGAAGAGCAAAAAACCAAAAAAAGCAAGTTAAATACCCACAAAAACAACCCAAAGACCAACCTAAAACCGCATATCTAAGCCCTAAACAAGGGAGGAGCCCTGTATGGCAATAAAATTAGGGAGGTGGGTCAGAGGCTCGCAACAAAGCCATGAAAACATGTTGCGCACAGAAGAGTGAGGGAAGAAGGTGCTAGGCAGACCAAGGAATAGAGAAAAAAAAAAGAAAGCAGCGAATGGAAGGGGTCGGGGGCACAGAAAGAAAGGAAAAAAAATGTGTGGGTCGCAGCAAGAGGACTGGGGGTAGGAAGCAAGGGGTGGATAGACTAGGAGGATGGGATGCTAGAAGGAGGTGGGAGGGGCTGCTGCTGGTCCAAGCCTCAGCAAGGGACCGACGACTGAAGTTTGCAAAGTTAGGGTTTCTGGTTGAAGGGAAAGCTTATCTGATTCTATTGAAGGGGAGGCCGAGAATCTCTGTCTTGCAAATCTATTGTTTATGTCTTTGTAGTGATCCTGTAATATATTTTGAATACCTTCATTAAATACTTTGCAATCCACATTCCCTTGGTACTTACAAATCTTTCCCTAAAACATAACTCAAATGAATAAGGTTATTTATCCAAAATGGTCCTTAAGATTGGCTTAACTCTTCATTTTGATCCTTCAAATTTAAAATCAAACTGTCAATCATTTTGGTCATTTTATGAGAAATCTCCATTAAATTGGGGGTATTTTTGTCAAATCAACCATTCTTATTGAACTGGTGGTTTCTTCAGTTTAACAGATATTTTTCACATAAGGACCAAAATGATTGACATTGATAATCTCAGAAATCACTTCTATCGATTTTAAATCTCAGTGACTAAAGTGAGGAGTTATGACAATCTCAATAAATATATAGGTGTAGTCGCACCTTGCACCAATACTTGCATTCCTACATGGGCTTCACCACTGTATAAACTTAGTTATTGAAACTATTCAGTTTCTTAAGCTTCATTTGAAGCTCATCCATACATAAAATAATTCGAATTAGAAATTATTTCTGCTTCCAAACGTATACATTTGAAGATCGTTTATATGCATTGCAATATATACACACACACACACACACATACATACATACACATACATAGGTCAGGATGGGGAACATACATTTTTTGGCACACTTTCTTAGGGTCAACTTCATAATATAATTCTACAATCTAACTATTTATCTTTCAGGTTTTCCCTTAAAGATCATCTATAACAAAATCACTCAAATTTGAAATCATATGGCCGTTTGATCCTTTAATTCATTCTTAAGTTTGGAACTACAAAATTGCCAAGGTTGTTTATTGGTGGAAATGTCTTCCTCTTCAACTCATTGCATCCCTGGCTTAAATGTTTCCCTATTATTTATGTAGTTTAGAGTAGTAATATCAATTGTGATTAAAAAAACTAGGAACTACAAAATTAATTCAAATGTCTTGCTCCCAGATTCTGTTGCATGCTTTTGGGCTTTTCTTTACTGGCACTTGAATCAGTGCAAAATGCATGCGCTCTTTTCTCTTTTGAATTTGAATTCTGATCACTGTCCTATAATTGTTGCTTTGCTTTCATTTCAGCATGGCGAAGACGCTTGAGAGGTATCAAAGATGCACTTATGGAGAACTGGGAGCAAGTCAATCTGCTGAGGACGAACAGGTTGCCGATAGTTTCTCATTTGTAATTAGCTTTAAGATGGATACATCTATTACCTGCAATGACATAAGTTTGGTAAAGCAACCTATATTATCCATTATTCAATTATTCTCAATCTGTTAGGGACAAATTGGGGTTGGTTTAAGTTTTATGTTTTTGGTAATGGAATTTCTTTCACAAAATCCTGCCCTACGGATTTTTGACATAAGGTGAACTTGTGCCATGCATGTTCACAAGCAGAGTAGATACCAAGACTACTTGAAGCTAAAAACGAAAGTAGAGGCCCTACAACGCACGCAGAGGTATTACGTATATCGATCATATATATTGCACATACACATATATATGTATATAGCGATACATTTGCACTAGAATTTTTGTAAATAAAATTAGACAGTTTGTTCGAGGATCGCATGAAAAATGCAAAGAGTGGACACAATTGATATATTGCTCATGAAAACTTTTAATTGGCATGTTTTTAGACATTTTCTTGGGGAAGATTTGGTTCATTTAGGCATGACGGAGCTTCAGCAGCTTGAGAATCAACTCGATATGTCATTGAAGAAAATCAGGTCCACGAAGGTATTAATAATTTGTTCCATAAGCGTGAAAAAGATGGCGAGTTAGTTAAAAGAAATCTTAACAGAGAATCTCGATTTACATTTCATTTGTTGGCAGACCCAATTTATGCATGTTCAGATTTCTGAGCTTCAGAGGAAAGTAAGTATTTTGCAAACAACATATATATATGTATACACATAATATATGTGTATATAAGTTACCAAATCTTTTAAGAATTAATTGTGCAGGAAGAAATGCTGCTGGAAGCAAACACTGGACTGAGAAGGAAGGTACGTAATACCAAACTACTGCTGCATTCTCAGCTATTTGACCATTACTCATTTTTGTTTTTCATGCAATGGAAATTCATCATGCTGTATAATACTTCTTAATTAGCTGTTCATTAAATGATTACAACATTTCAAGGCAAAATCTAATATAGTCCTCATCATATAGATTTCCTATCCTTACTTGTACAACTATAGTAATGCAAAGCACTATTGGGCTCGTTTGGTTCTTAGGGTTGAAATGGATTGGTTAACTTATAAAACTCAAGGGATATTGAAAGTAAAGGAGAACGATTTTTCATATTAGGGGTCATAAGGGGATTAGATATGAATGACATATGTTTTCTAATCCTACCATTTTGGGGATTGAAATATATAAGTTTACTTCACGAGTCATATTCCATCTTCAAGTTGGACACTACCCTTCATTCCTTCCTTCAATGTGCCTTTAATATAGTAAGTTATTCATTCCAATCCAATCGCTAACAGCAAATGATCGAGGCCTTTCTTTTAATAACTGTATGTTATCATCTAACTGTTTCTTCATATGGATTCTTGAATCTTGTTAATTATTCCATTTAATAAGTTTTTCAGATAACTAATTTGGTCAATTTGGGGTGTAAATTTTCGTGTTCTGCAGTTGGAAGAAAGTACTGCTGACCTTCAACGATCATGGAATAGCCATCACCAGGCTGCTCAATTAGAAGGATTCCCTGAGCATTTGCAATTCAACAATACATTGCAGATCGGGTAACCATATATCTTATAGAGATTATTGTCAAGCATATGAATTTTTCTGCAACGTTAATTAATAAAATTCGGTTGCCTTAATTTTTTTAGCTGTCATCTAAAGTGTTCATTAACTATTACAGCTACAGTACTCCAGCAGTAACAAATGATGAGGTGAATGTAGCAACGTCATCGGAACAAAGTCGTCGGGGATTCATCCCTGGTTGGATGCTCTGAATTTATAGGCATCATGCATCAATCAAAGAGTAAAGTGGTGTTGTTTCACTTATTAATAATTTGCTGCCTCGTATCTTTAATGTTATAGAAGGGTTCATTCATTCGTGAGACTAATGCACAAGAACTGATCACGACTGTTCTGCCCTAAGAATTTCATTTGGATTTTACCTTTTACCAATGAGTAGTATAAAACGCTTGTGTGGTGTTTGTGAGACAGATCAAACAATTGAACACTTGTGCCCTACTAATGTTCATCAGGAAAGTCGTGCCCTAAAAATGTCCTTTTAGCCTTTTCACTTTACCTATTACCAATGGGTATGAAATGCTTGTGTGATTTTTGTGAGGCTGATCACACAATTGAACACTTACCGCAATTCATCACGATTGTTGTGTCCTGAAAATTTCCTTTGTATTACCAAATGAGCAAACGCATGGCGACATCTAATCGTCTTTGCCTATTTGGGGCAATGGATGAAGGGGATGGTGAAAATTACTCAATTGTACTAAATTGGGGGATATATTATATAATATAAATATATAAACTTGTCTACTACTATGAGATCATGCACATAATACATTGCTGAATCTAAAAAAAAAAAAAAGTTATTTCCAAGTAGTAAACAAAAAAATCTAAATTGGTATGATCTTCTGTGCGGACAAAGATGAAGACGATGAAAAGAAAGAGCATAACTCACTGTTGGGGTGTCCAGGAGATGTAAAAGGATGTTTAAAATTTGATGAGAGATCGTCGTGGGTTTCAGAATTGAGGTGGAGGACGGCGAAGATGTAAAGCCATACTTATAATTGGTGGGTGACAGGGCCATAAACGGCGGACTCTTTTCAATTTGTAGGGTGGTTGGGGTCCAATTGAATCATTCAATTACAACTCTATTACTACTAATGGATGCCTGGTTGGTGCGTCCTCCCAATTATGCTTTGGTTAGGGAAACAATTTTGAACCCCATATAATTATTCTAGATTTTTTTTTTGTGGGTCTACATAGTCATGCTAGATGAACTACGTAAGAAAATAAGAGAAGATAAATGTTAAAAGCAAAGTGATGATCAGTTAGAAAGAGACAGCACATCTTAAAATCTGTTTGAGATTATTAAGCAAATAATTAACTAAAACTTAATTGAGAATCTAAAATTATTGCTTCTGAAATGGTTAAAAGTCTTTTCTGACAATAAAAAACGTTTTTTTTACTACATTTGAAAGAAAACGTTAATATTTGTAGATTATAAAAGCATTTTCTAGAAAAAACATATCATTCTTCCCTGTAGCACTAGGATTAATATTATACATGTTTTTAATAAAAACACTTCTAACAAAAATAGTCTCTACTTCCTTCAACTCTTTATTATTCATATATATATATATATATATATATATATATATATATATATATATATATATATATATATAACACGATGTTAACATGACATGCATACATATATTTCACTAACAATATGGTAACCAAATGATCCCCTCCTCATTTTATGTAGGAAAAATGAGTTAGCTTAATCATTTTCAGTTCATAAGAGACTAACAGTGTGTATCTCAATATATTGAATAATATAAACCGTAAAGGAGACAGAGATTGACAACTAAATATTGTTTTCGTGTCAAACTGATCATGAACACATTGTTTTTTTTTGGGGACAAAGATCATGAACACATTGTTGAAATGTGGGACACCAACGAGCAGTATAATTCCTCTGGCCAAAAACAAACAATTTTTCAACCTACCATGTACTAATGTGGTCAAATCACAGTAATTTTCACCGTATAAAATGTGGCACTGTGCGTACTTACGTTCGCTGGTTACGCGTCAAGCAATAAGGCAATGGTAACTCTGAAGGCCGTCGGTACAATGCATGCCCGAGACTCTTTGTGTCCGAATAGAAGTCAGTAAGTAGTGATCTACACCAGTGTGAAAGAAAAATAAAATTGTGGTTCCAATTACTAGCCCTGTTGGAAAGAGAGAAAACGACTGCACGGTGTACCTCAACCAATCAGAAATCGACAACACTTCTTAGAAACCCCACCGGTTTTCCCAAAACCACTTGTGTTCACAAAACCGCTTTATCTATCATCAAATCAAATGTGTGTATAGATAGCTACTAGCACATACACTTTCTCAGACACCTTCAGATATTTGGTTAGAAGAAGAAATCCATTAATTTATAACTGTATTTCTTTCTTTTTGCATATAAATAGCACAGCTTAGTATTTCAGTTTCTGGGTTGTCTTTCTTTTTTGGTTGTTTGGGTTTTTTGAGAAAGAAAATCAGAGAACAAGCAGTTGAAAGAGTTGAGTGGCAACTGAGAGTCCATAAGTATTTAATCATGGGGAGAGGTAGAGTTCAGCTTAAGCGCATAGAGAACAAGATCAACAGGCAGGTGACTTTTTCCAAAAGAAGAACTGGGCTGCTGAAGAAGGCTCATGAGATCTCTGTCTTGTGTGATGCTCAGGTTGCTTTGATTGTCTTCTCCAACAAGGGCAAGCTCTTTGAGTACGCCACAGATTCATGGTATACTATTTTATTAATTGATTATATCTCCTCCTCTCGAATTTTATTTACTAAAACCTAGCTAAAATTTCCACCAAAGAAAAAAACCTAATTTTTATTTTCCGAAAATTTCGAAGGTACGCGAGAAATTTGTATCTATAAGAAAGTAAAAGGATTTAGAAACGTTGCTTGAGAGATCGAGCTAAACCTAGCTAAAAAGCTTTCATACACCTTGCTTTATTAGTCTGTTTTGTTTTCTGTTTTTGCATATTTTTGTTTTGTTTTCTTTCACTACAAATTTGTAATTAGGGTTGTACTATATACGTGTGATCTTATAATTTGGTCAATGGTTAACCCTGAGTTGTCCAAAGGTAGAACTCTGTTAACTATAAGTTGATTGTAGATGAAGTAACTGGAGTTGTTAATTTTTCATAATCTAATGCTGGTCAACTGAGATGTCGTTCCTGCAAGGTAATTAGAAGATCGATGAAAGCGGTGCTGATTTGATATAAAGTATTTTGTAATTATAAAATAGCTAGACGTACTTCTCTTATGCTTTTCTTTTTTTGGCTAAATTACTTAATGCGTGTCTAAAATTTAGTGGTTGCCTCTGACAAAAGAAACATGTTGATCGGTACTTATTTTATAGTTTTTCGTACTAAATTGAACCTAACAAATGTGAAGAGATTAAACTTGCCTGCTTGATTAAGGAGCGATTTGCTACAGTATAATATATCATTACTAATTGTGATCTTTGTTAGTGATATTAAATAAAATTAATGGATTCTGGAATATATGGTAATGGGTAAGCAGAAAATTTTTTGTCAGCAAAAGTAAAAACATCAAACAAGGAGTGGAAGCAGCAGCAAGTAGAATCCCAGCAGGAGAATATCCACTAACATATATAATATATAATACCCCTGAGAGAAAGAGAAGGCGATGGCACGGACCAAGTACATAATATAGTTTGAATATTGTGGTTTAATTATAGAATATCTGAAGTGAAATGAAAGGAAAACCCAGAAAACGAGAAGCCTGGTGTAGTAAATCTCAGATATTTATTTAAATAATACAGTCTTCAACAGAAGCTCAAATTATTTGAAGCTAGGCGACCATTAAATAGGTTAACTTGTCCTATACATAACAGTATCTTTGCTAATTATATACATATAGCTATATATTAAGTTATTAACAGTCTCCTAGTTGATTATATTTACATACGCACACACACTCACATCTGTAGTAGTATTGGAACCTGTTAGAGATGACATGCATGCGAGATGCTTGCTCGACTGTAAACCGAAAACAAGAATAAAAAGTGCAAGACTATTGCAACTCCAAGGTTTGTACTGCCTGGCATTGATTGTAATTTAATCAACATTATTTCATGTGATGATGATCATGATTAATTTTCTTAATCATATGAATATACTCCATTCAAAGTGTTTTCATAACTTCAATCAAATTATTAATCAATCAATTCATTAAGATGGGGTTTTTTGATAGAGGAGCAGGTTGCATTCTTCTATCTAGATACTATTTACTACTTTTCATATGTTTGATATTGCTGATCATGCATGTACAGCATGGAGCAAATCCTCGAACGCTATGAAAGATACTCTTACGCCGAAAGACAGCTAGTCGAACCAGATTTTGAGTCACAGGTTTGCCATGCCATGCCATCAATCTCCGAATACTAATTAACTGCTACGCCTTATTTTGATAGTGTTATAACTAATTACTCGAACAATTTCATGATGCGCAGGGTAACTGGACCTTTGAATATTCCAGACTAAAGGCTAAGGCTGAGGTTTTGCAAAGAAACCATAGGCACTATTTGGGAGAAGACCTGGATTCCTTGACTCTCAAGGAAATCCAAAATTTGGAGCAACAGCTTGACACCGCTCTTAAACAAATTCGATTAAGAAAAGTACGTACTCATTTATGCTTACTAATGAGAATCAATCTCTATTAATTGTGCATTTGTACTTACACTAGACTAATTTTTAGTTTGATGACACTAAAGTGTTCTCTTAATTTCTTTCAGAACCAACTCATGAATGAATCCATCTCTGAGCTTCAGAGAAAGGTAAGGGCACCTATAGCATTTTTTTCTTTTTTCTGTTGTAAATACGTTTAGACTGCGAGAGAAAGAGAAAGGGTACTGTGGAGGATATATGTTCGGTAGCTCATTCAAATGTTTTTGATCTTGTGCGTTGTGACAGAGAAAGGCGATACAGGAGGAAAATAACTTGCTAGCAAAGAAGGTAATAATATGCTTATACTATTTTATCACTGAGTCAGCTAGGGTTGTGGTCTGGGGCTTATATTTGGCTTTAACTTGGATGGTTTTTTACATGATAATTTTTCTTTTCGTTTTTCTGTTTTTAATTCATATAAATTGTGGAAATAGATAAAGGAGAAGGAGAAGGCTGCAGCTCAGCCCCAGGTTCAAACTGGGAGCAGCAGAACCATGGCCTTGACCTGCTTCCACAGCCACTTCCATGTCTAAACAATGGGTGATTATTCTTTCCACATAAAATTCTTAATTCTAGGGGCCTGTTAATTTGTCTTTTTAAAGTTTTCATTTATTTATTACTAGAGCAATTCCAATGGAAATATGCAATTTTGAGATGTAAAAATCACATTTACATTCCATTTACATTTTTGGGAAATCTAAATGTGGTTTTTGCTCTAAATGGAAGATGTAAATTTCATCTTGTAAAAAAAATGTAATTTAAATCTTCAGGTCAAGATGAGTATTAAATCCTCTCTAAATTATTGGAGAGCTTTCTGCCAATAAGAGATGTATGAGTGCTACACATAAGGAGATGCTCCTAGTATGTTAATATTGTTATATAAAATCTGTTTGACGAAGCAGTATTGATGAATCAGTTAAGAAAGTTAATTAACTTGGTATCAACCCTAATTAACTTGTTTTTATGCAATGCATACGATATGATATGCAGGGGGACGCAGCAAGATGAATTCCTTCAAGTGAGGAGGAACCAGCTGGACCTGACTCTGGAACCATTATATGAATGCCATCTCGGATGCTTTGCTGCTTGATCATCAATCGTTAGAAAAAGGTGGAAGAATTAAATGGAAAGAAAACAAAACTACATATGTGTGCTATTTCTGTATTAAATTTCTGGTTTCTTGGTAAATTTGGACCAACCCTGAACGTAGTAGCAATCCATATATGAGGAATTGAACTTTGAAAGTGTTCTGTAAATCTATTTATATTCATGCCAAAAACCTGAGAAATATTGAGTAAATGTGTGAGCTAAACTCTCTGTCTATCGATTTCAAACTCTATGTGCGAGCTAAACTCTGTTTGTCTCTTCTCTGAGAAATGTCCATTAAATTAAAGATATTTTTTTCAAATCAACCCCTTCTCTTGAACTGATGATTTTTTCAATTTAACAGAGATTTGTCACGAATGACTAAAATGATTGATGGTAGACAATCTCTGGAACTAATTCTATCGATTTTAAATCTCAGTGACCAAAGTGAGGAGTTATGCTGCCACATCCTAGTCTTGACTCCACCGTAGTACGATATTGTAAGCTTTGAGCCCTGGCCACGCCCTCATGGTTTTGTTTCTGGGAACTCACACGAGAACTTCCCAGTGGGTCACCTATCCTAGGATTGCTCTCGCCCAAACTCGCTTAACTTCGGAACTCCAATGGAACCGGAAGCCAGTGAGTTCCCAAAAGGCCTTGTACTATATGGAGGTGAGCATGTACATATAAGGCACATCACCCCCTCTTCGTTGGTCAATGTGGGATGTTACAATCCATCCCTCTTAAGGGTCCGACGTTCTCGTCGACACACTCGCACCACACAGCAGAGTGCCTCTGATACCAAACTGACACGCCTCGATCCCGATATTCCCTGATTACCAGGATAGGCACGTGATGGCTGACACCCTAAGGTGACGAAAGCCATTTATTGGATGCAAATGCATGTTTTAATAGTAGAAATTCATACATGGAAAAGCATGATTTAACGATTATGTTCTATGAAACACTTTGAGATAACAAGTTTACTGAGGCTAGTTTGAATTATTACTATTTTTCCTATAACCCGTGTTCTTATAGAATATCTGATGGATGACGATATAATATTTAGAACACGTTTAGAACACCTCTTTATAGTATAGATGATGGATGACTTTATACTATGAAGTTGTTTTTCAAAATATGTATGTTCAATGGTTTTGTACTTACCTAGTAGTCCATATTCCGCTACGGGACGAGGGATAGATTCTGGTTCGTCCCGGGCGACGATTATGGTGTTGGCATAGGGCCTGAAGTGTTTTCCCTCTGGCTATTAGCACAGGGACGGGGAGTCAGCATGAGGCCTGGGGGTAATTTTTCTCTATCTGTTTGAGATGGAGAGCCGGCATGGGGCCTAGAGAGATATTGGACATTCACTAGTGATTATTATATATACAAGTTATGATTTGAGACATTGCACGACATGCTAGGTTTTGGAAAACTTATGTTTATCATGATATATATGTGTTTTCATAAAGTCTGGGGGTTAGTATGTTGATAATTGTTTTATTATATATATATATATATATATATATTAACTTGGTCAATTCATGTTTGTTTTGCGCCCCCTTCAGAACTTAGAATCAAGACATACAATCCTGGTGTCAAAGCACTTCCGCATAGGCATCTTCGAGTCCTCTCGGTGTAGGACCCATTATTTATTCATTCAATTTTATATTATTTATTTTAGTATTCTAGTTATTTGTATGCTCTCAACACGTTTCTTAAATGCATATTCTTTATTCTTTTCCATTTATAAGTCTTATATATCCCTTGTTTTCAGCATTTGCACTCAATAAATGGTTTTCGTCACCCTCGGATGTCAGCCAACACGTGCCTATCCTGGTGTTCGGGGAATATCAGGATCGGGGCATGTCATATGCCAATCTGAGGAATTATTTTGGATAAAAAACATTTATTAAATTAGGATTTTGGTATCTATAATTGAGGTGACTTCGGCAGAATTTAGGATTTTTCTTTTTTCGTTTAGGATTTTGGAGTTTAATGCTTGATTAAGATACATGTAATGTAAGTAAGCACATGAAAGGAAAAATAAAAAAACAAGATTCATGAGAAACAGTAACTGATGTAATAATTCATTGCTCAATTGGACAAATACTTTAAGCCGGAAACTTATAGAACACTTACAGCCTCACTCTTTCAAGAAGAAAGAATTGCACAAAAGGAATCGAACAAGGGATTAGTTCAAGGAGCATATATAAGTACAAGAATCTAACACACAACGGTGACCTGCCTTTCAATATGCATCTACATGATGGGTGACCAGAAAAAGCTCTACTTTTCTGTTGAGTCTCAAGACGTTTCACTAAATATCATCACCTAGAAAATCAATTTAACGACGGTCTGATGCAACACAAAGTTTGCCGATTGGATTAAATTTAGTTGGAAGAAGTTTCAAAATCCAAATATTTCAGGTATGGTTTGGCCAATAATTTTCACTTGGGCAAGTTATGGACCAAAGAGATTCTACCACTACCCTATATTAGGCACTTTCTGAATTAGGGTTACTCTTAACGTGCAAATTGGGCAGGTTGAGCTTCTCTCCATCCATTCAGAAATACAAGAAAGGTGGTAATGCAATGGTGAGAACACTCCATGGTTGTCTTTAGATTCTCAGTTGTGTATTCTGCAGTCGTTACAAAAAATAGAAGAACCCTCAGCATAAGATAATTATATGCTAAAGTCAGATAATAAAAGGCTAAACACATATATTTCACTAATATTCTGCCACAGGGAACCAGATTTCACTGCATTAATTATCACCTTCCAAGCATGTGGGACATTCGTCTTCACTTTCTAATAAATCATAGATATAAGTAAGTCCTGTGGCTTCTTTTCCAGATGATGATTTCTTTAAGGACTCGTTAGGGTTTTGATTTATTAAATATTAACCCTTCATTTAGTCCCTCTTGCGTGGAGGGGGTTGGACAACTCGGACTTGAACACACTAGTACAAAAAACACTTTGCGCGACGCAGGTCATTCGTCGCGCAAAGTCAAAAAACGTCGCGTAAAACTTTGCCCAACGAACCTTCGTCGCGCAAAAACCGTCGCGGCAAGGCAGTGACAGAAGGCTTTGCACGACGAAGGGGTTACATGCGTCGCGCAAAGCCACTTTGCGCGACGTAGGCTGCGTCGCGCAAAGTGGCTTTGCGCGACGCATGTAACCCCTTCGTCGCGCAAAGTGGCTTTGCGCGACGCATCTTACATCTCGCAAAGGGACTTTGAGCGACGCAACCTACGTCGCGCAAAGCCACTTTGCGCGACGCATGTAACCTCTTTGTCGCGCAAAGTGAATTAGATCACTTTTTTTGGTTTTGGTCAAAAATATTATTTTTTTAATAATATTGTAATTAAATTCTAAACAATAATTAATTAACCAAAGAAAAATATTTAATTATAAAATATATGAAAATGTACATACAAGATGTCCGAATAAAAAAACAAAAAAACTACAAATAGTCTTCTAGGTGAAGTGGCTACTGGGTATCGGCATGATGAAGTAGCTCGGAGGTCGAAGGTGTAGTAGCAAGATCAGGTACTGGTAGCGAGATTTGGAGGCCGGTCATCTATATGGCTCGTACTAGATCTCTCATATGCCCGGCATAGGCCTGCAGTTGCTCGTCCTGGGCCCTTATCTGTTCCCTCATCTACTCGCCCTGGACCTCATGATGACCCTTTAGGGTTGTCACTTCCTCATTCAATGAATCGACCTCTGCAGTGATCTGACGGAAACATCTAAGTAATCAATTGATTCAATGATCTGACGGAAACAATATGTGGTAGGTATCAGTTAATTGAAGAGAAAACATCTAAGTAATCAATTGCTTTAGTGAATCTTCTATAGTATGGTTGCAATAATAAGAACTTTGATATAGTTAAGTCTAATCAAACTATTATAAGTAATCAAATTCAAGTCTTATTTTCGGTGATCTAGTTATGTAGTTAAGAACTTTGATATCAAGCAAAGTAGGAAACCCATTAATCCATTTAAAAAGCATAACTTAAATTACTGATATAGTTAAACTAATCAAACTATTATAAAAATTAAAACAGAATAAGAAATGGAAATTCAAACTTTGATATCTATTATCTAGATGCAGAGATAGACGGAGTTGGACGGAGTTGGAGATGGAGATAGCTTTGACCAAAGTTTTGCTGAGAGTTTATTCGGAGTTGGAGATAGCTTTGACCAAAGTTTTGCATTTGAAGCCCAATACCCTGAGCGATGGCAATAAACCAAATTAAAGCCACTAAGACATGAAGACCTAACCCAAATCTTCTTCTCTTTGACCAATGAATAAAAATGGTAACAACATTACTTTTACATTGGCAGCCAATGAATCATAACTTACCTTACATTTCAAGTTATTGAATTAAACAGTAAGCTCTATTTTATTTAAAAAACCTACAGGGCGTGTTCGCTTGGGTTAGTTCTAGTTCAAGCCCTCATTTAACAAGGTTAAAATAAGGAGACTAGTGAGGCAGTAGTCCCACTTAGTGAGATTGCTAAATAGCACCCTGTTTGATACAACTTAGACTAACTCATACTAGCTCAATCCAGCAAAGCAATGCGGTGTAGCAAACACAGCCATAAATGTAATTGGTTTTCTCAAATCATCTTAAACACAAAATACTGAATGTACAATTACAAGGGTTGTCGTACCTATGGACTCCTGCAGATGGGTAAGAATGACTTGCAGCAGGACGAGCTCTTTCAAATGCCAAATGAGGTGAATGCAGCTGCCCTGGAGCTTCAGGTCCCCTATGTTAAAATAAAAATCAATATGTTTTTAATACATAACGAAACCCAAATGCTCAATGGCTATTCAATTACTTTTAGCCATTTTCTTCTACGCACAATCAATATATATAACTAAAACCATTAAGTTATTATCCATACCATTAGCTATTCCTTTAGTCTTCATGTGCTTCCAAGTGCAAAGTTATAATCAATCACAAAATCATTAAGCAGGTCAAGGTAATTATAAATTTTGAAGCTCGTAACAAGGAAGATTTAGAACTTGATACAAAGCCAACCAAACAAGCAGGGAACAACAAATGCAGCTACAAAGTCAACCAAAATACATAAATATAAATAAAATTATTCCAAATCGTGAAAAAAAAAAAAAGCTAATCAGTTAACAAAAACCTAAATCCATAAAATCACCATATAAACTCCAAAAATCAAAGATCTAGAACAAGCATTCATATGAAAACAAGAAACAGAGCAGAGCAACATAAATTAAAGAGAAGGAGAT